CCACAACCCCCCACTCTACAACACAAGCATCACAACCACCACTTACAACCAACACTCACAACCACCATCTACAACACAAGCACTCAAACCCCCCCTTAAACACAAGCCTCCCCAAACACATACAACAAAACAACAATCACAAACCACCACTCACAACACAAGCACTCACAACCACACCTACAAAACAAGCCTCAAACCACCACCTACAACACAAACTCACAACCCCATCTACAACACAAGCCTCCCAAACCCCCACTTACAAACAAACCCACAACCACCACCCACAAACAAAACAAGACCCCAAACACCACTCTACAACAAAAACACTCACAACCCCCACTACAAAACCCAAACACTCACAAACCACCACTCTACAACACAAACCCCACAACCCCCACTCACAAAACCATCACAACCCCCACCTACAAAACAAACACCACAAACCCCCACTTTACAACACAAGCAAATCACAACCACCACTCACAACACAAGCACTCACAACCCCCACTCTACAACACAAGCACTCCAACCACCCCCTACAACACAACACTCACAACCCCCCCACCAAAAACACAACCTCCAACCCCCACTCTAACCACAAGCACTCCAAACCAACCACCAAAAACACCACAAAAACCCCACCTTACAACCAACACTCACACCACCACTCAAACACAAACACTCACAACCCCCAACTACAACACAAGCACTCCAAAACCACCACTCACAACACAACACTCACAACCACCCCTACAACACAAGCCTACAACCCCCACCAAAAACCAACACTCACAACCCCACTCACAACACAAGCCTCACCCCCCCACTCTACAACACAACACTCACAACCAAACCCCCTACAAAAAAAGCACCACAAAACCCCAAAAGCCACCCCCTACAACACAACCACTCACAACCCCACTCTACAACACAAGCACTCACAACCACCACTCTACAACCAAGCACTCCAACACCCCTCTACAAAACAAACACTCCAACCACCACTCTACCCAAAAAACCCCAAAACCCCCAAAAAACCCAAAAAACCCCCAACCACCACTCACAAAAAACAAGCACTCACAACCCCCCACCTACAAAACAAGCACTCACAAACCCCCATCTACAACACAAAACATCACAACCACCACTTACAACACAACACTCCAAACACCACTCACAACACAAGACTCCAAAACCCCCCCACTCCAACACAAGCACTCACAACCACCACCTACAAAACCCAAACACTCACAACCCCCCACCTACAACACAACACTCCAACCCCCACTCCAACACAAGCACTCACAACCACCACCCACAACACAACACTCACAACCACCATCTACAACACAAGCCCACAACACCACTCCAAACAAGCACTCACAACCACCCCTACAACACAAACATCACAACCCCCCAATCTACCCAACATCACAACACCACTCTACAAAAACACTCCAACCCCATCTACAACACAACATCACAACCCCACTCTACAACACAACAAAACAACCACCACCTACAACACAACCTCAACCCCACCACAACCCAACACTCACAACCCCACTCACAAACACAAAACCCCCACAACCCCACTCACAACACAACACTCACAACCCCATCACAAACAACACTCACAACCCCCCACTCTACAAAAAACACTCCAACCCCCCCTTCCCCGCAAAAAACACTCCAACCCCACTCCAAAAACAACACTCACAACCACCCTCAAAAAACCCAAACCCCTTACAAAAACCGCCCCCCCCTCTCCCCCAAAACACTCACAACCCCATTACCCAAAACAAACCTTTACACCCCCCACTCACAACCCCAACACTCACAACCCATCTACAACCAAAAACTCAAACCCCCACCTCAAAACAAACATTTACAACCCCACCTCCCCCAAACCACAACCCCACATAAAACCAAACTTTTTAAAACCCCACTCTACAAAAAAACACCAACCCCCACTTACAACACAACACACAACCCACCACAAAAAAAATAAAAACCGCCACCTCAACACAAACCTCACAAAACCCCCCCAAAACCCCCTACAAACCCCATTAAAACACAAACTCCACCCCCCTTAAAAAACAATCCAAGCCATCTAAAACCTCCAAAACCCCCTTCCCTTTCCCCCCAAAAAACAAAACCTGCCCTTCACAAAACTAACAAAGCCCCCTTACCCAAAAAACATAAACCCAAAACCCTTTGAACACCCAAATTTTCCAAGCCATCCAAAACCCAACCCCCCCTACAAACCAAAAAATTTTCCAAAATTTAAACCACCCAACCCCACTCTAAACCCATAAAACCCCCCAACAAACCCCAAAAACCCCCTTAAACCCAAATTCCACCACATCTAAAACCCATTAAAACCACATCTACAAACAAAAAAACCCCAGCCCTCTAAACGTAAAACACGGTTAAAACACCACTCTCAATCTTAAAAACCCAGTTATTCCTTTACGCCAAGTATCAGGTTGATTTTACCTTCATCGGTTTAAACCCGGGTAGCGTCCCTCCCACATCTGATAAAACCCCTTTTTCACCACATCTAATTTGGGGAAACCCCAGTTAAGCGTTCCCTTATTCAGGATAACCGGGGAAACGGTTTTCCCACGCCTACATCGTAAACCCCGGTTTAGCAGTTCCTACTCACATCGGAAAACCCCGGTTAGCATTCCTACTCACATCGTGATAACAGGTTTAGCCGTTCCTACATCTACATCGTGATAACCCAGGTTTAGCAGTTCCTACGTCTACATCGTGATAACCCAGGTTTAGCAGTTCCTACATCTACATCGTGATAACACAGGCTGCACTTTTTCGAAACATCCGAAAACATGTCAGGATAGGTTTATAGAAGGGTAGTTACTGTTACTACTTGGTCTTCTGCAAGTCCCAACACTATTGGGTGAGGATCCTGGATGATGACTGGGCTAGGGAGCCTTATTTGATTCTCCGGATTTGTGTACAGGGAATCAGGGTCGTCCACAGGTTCATGGACAAAGGACAAAATTATTACTGGAACCTTAGATGATTAAAAAAATAGTTTAATCTGATTAATGTGGTAGATTTTACCCACGTTGGCTTTATTAAGAGGTGCTGCCACGTAGTTCTTTTTGATTACCTGCATCGATCATATTAACCTTGCTTTAAAGGTGTGACAAGCCACAGTTCCTAGATCAACACCTTCTCTCTGGGTTAAAGGAATGAAATTTAGAAGTTTTGTCATGCCTCTGTTTCATGTTGTTTTGAGGCGGATTTTAAGTTGGCCTTAGCCAGTTGACGGGCTACGTGCAACTTTGATGAAGGATAGTATTATGTCTTTCAGGCATCTTCTATCCATCTTTCCTAGAGCATGTATGGTCAGACCTCTCACCTTATGCCCAAAAATCTGCTCAAAAGGACTGTACCCAGCTGATTCTTGCACAGTTTCGCGTATTACAAACAGCAACAGAGGAAGCAATTCATCCCGGTTTGTAGGAAAATGCATGCAATACGTAAGCATCATAACTTTTAAGGCGCCATGGGACTGAGGATAATAGGCTGTGGACAATTTTTTATTAACTCCTAGCCTAGTTAAAGCTTCTCTGAATGCTTTTCTTGTGAAATTAGTGCCCTGGTCACTCTGGACAGAATGTGGATTGCCGAAGAGGGAAATAAATTAATGAGGGCTTAAAGAATGGCTATACTGTTGATACTATGCATAAGTACTACCTCAGGATATCTAGTGGTTTTATCAAGAATGGTAAACAGATATTGGTTGTCTTACTTGGCCTTCAGTAAGGGTCGATAATTTTGCCTGTAAATGGCTCTCCATCAGTGGGAATGGGATGACGTGATGCTTGTTTAATGTAGCGTCCGGGCTGACCCACTTGCTGTCACTCACAACAGGAACGAATGCAATTCTGCAACTTAGTTCTTATACTTAGCCAATACAAGTGGTTTAAGATCCTATAAAGAGTTTTATTGACACCCAAATGTCTTCTTAAGAACGAATTGTGAGCTATTTTCCGGACCTTAGTTCTGACTCTATTTGGTACTATAAGTCTGGTTTTAAAATTCCCCCTCCTTACCAGTAATTGGACAAACTAATAAGTTATTTTAAGTACACATTTAAGTGGATGATTTGAGCTGGATTCGCCCAATTTAGCTATGAGAGTGAATGCTGAAGAAAAGTCGCTTTGTTGCTTTTTTCGAAAGGAGAGTTCCTTGGGCTTGAAAACGAAAACCTTCGGCAATCCTGCGTCCATAGAATAAGAAGACTTGATCAGAGACTTTTTGCTAAATTTACAAAGCCATGGCCAGATTTCTCGGTAAAATAAATTGTCTAGCCCTAGATCGGAGTCCTCCATGGAAAGATCTGCAGTCATTTTAGACATTCCTTTGGACAATACCTGAGTTATGACTAAGATCGGAGACGAGGCTTCTGTGGCTACAATGGGCTAGTGACAGCATCTTTCATGGGGAATCTCCAAGTTACACCTACAGTTAAATTCCCAGTGTAACACTGACTTGTAATGAAAATCCTATGCAGGGTAAGATAAAATACAGCTCCTCCGTAGGCTTCTGATAATAATGAGGAGTTTAATAAGGAGTTTAATAAGATCTCAGAAATTTAAAGTACTCCCTCATGTAAGAAGAAGCAATAACCCCCGGTATCACCTCAATGGGGGTTCCATACCACTTAAGGGAGATTTAACTGACTATAAAAGGTTACCATTCAGGCATCTTTTTCCTGTTGATTCGTTCCCCTGGGAAACATAGTTACTTATCCTAGTGGTAATGATTTAGTCAACTAGCTTTGCTAGGTTTACCTAGGTTAGGGCGAGTAGGCTTTGTGATCAGGCTTACAGTTTTTCACTCACTATAATTCCCTTCCCTGTAACATCTACTAAAATTTCCCCTTTCAAGTGCGCTGTTACTATTGTTGTACTAGTGGTACATCACTCTGTCATGTGTGTGACTCTAGTGTCACCCTTCCACAGGGCGCTACGACAGGGGCGGCCAGCAGCACAGCATCACCTGGGGTCGGGCCAACAGTCACAGCTCAGCCATTTTCGGCAACATACCCACGAACGTCACCGCTGTGTTTGGTCACCGGGCCCGCCTTCCCTGTCAGGTCAAAAACCTGGGCCTCAAAGACGTGAGTACAGACTTCTATATCGGGTTGCTATGGTTGCTTTGATTGGGTTTAATATCAAGCAAGTTTTATTAAGGCTACAGGCAAGCAAATAAGCAAGCAAGAACACAGTAATCCGTGAAACAGAGGTTAAAGTAAGTTCTTAGCGTATACACTGTGAGATACACACCTCCCGGTGTATACACCGAGACATAGAGACAAAGTGCTCCAGAGAGGGGACACAGAAACAAGGGGTCATAGTTGGAAGCTGAAGACTCAGACGAGTCACAGCGATGTTAGGAGGTATTTCTTCAGTCACAGAGTCGTCAGGAAGTGGAATAGCTTAGCAAGTGATGTAGTGGGGGCAGGAACCATACATAGCTCTAAGACGAGGTATGACAGCCCAGGAAGCAGAGAGAGAGAAAGGACCTAGTAGCGATCAGTGAAGAGGCGGGGCCAGGAGCTGAGTCTCGATCCCTGCAACCACAATTAGGTGAGTACCTCCCGGTGTATACACCGACAGACACACCTCCAGGTGTATACACCGAGGTGAGTCCGGGGTTCGAATCTCCTCCGGTAAGGCTGGAAAACATTAGGGACGTGTTTCCATAAGATACCTGCTGTCCCTGTCCCAGTTCACCCATCAGTTTAAAATGGGTACCTGGGTGTTAGTGGACTGGTGTGGGTCGCATCCTGGGACAAAACTGACCTAATTTGCCAGAAATGCTCAGCATAACAAGAGGCTTTCTTGTAGAAGAATGGTTCAAAGAACCGACATGTTGTTAAATTAGACACATGTGCAACTCTTGGGTATACCCAAGAGTTGCACATGTGTCTAATTTAACAAGAGGCTTTCTATATAGTAGTGTTGCAACCCCTGAATGGGTTACAATGTGTATATATTACATGTATATTACATTTTCATATAATTTTAAATTTCTTATATTTGCGATAATAGCTAAATCGTAAATATATTGACTTAGTTACCTATTGTTAGGTAGGATGTAACATAAAATGTGCTCAGTTCAAGTCTTGATTGTCTAACTACTGTAATTATCGCTTGTGGCTCTTTTCCCTGCCGGCTTCTGTTGCTGAGCTGCAGCTGTCCACAGAGCTATCACGTGATCGAGGGGGGGTGTCCTCACCTCGCCTGAAGTATTCAGTCTGGTCTAGACTCTCTTGGTGGTTGGACGTATTCCAGACAAGTGCCTAATTCTCCATTATTGGCTCTTGTTGGAAGATTGTCTCTGTCTCATTATTATTCTTGTTAGTTCTGGAGCCTCTGTTCACAGAACATTGTATAGACTTAGTGATTTTCGACGTTGTACTGAGGTTGTGTGTCGCTTAGACACTCTGAGCAACTCAGGTCCTGAGCTGTAGCTTCTGACCTAATTTGTACTAGTATCTGTGCATTGTCACAGTCGGGTATTTTCTTATGCTGAACTTAGATTCAGTAGTATGGGAGTTTGTGACTTTTGTGGAGGATCTGCTGATGGTCCCTACTAGCTGTCTTTATATTATCTCCTTGTTCCTGATTGTGTCGCATTTGCTTGTTATATTGCTATTGGACTTAGCATTCTTTTTATTGTTCAAGCAGACTGTTCTGATTGCCAGTTGGTCAAGAAGTTAGTTTATGAGAGGACTTTGTCAGTCATTTGTTTAAGTCTAGTCGAGTCGTGAGACATAGTGAACTACTTAGAGCACTTACACACATACACACAAACTTGCTTGCACATATTTGTAATATCTTATTAAATGTTAATGTACCAGATGGTACTTAAGAATTATAAATGTGATATATGCTATCAGCACAATAATACTGTACACAAGAGAAGTGATTAATATTATTTTGATTATTGTGATTAATTTAATTTAATTTGATATACACCTAGAAAATTATATTAATAAATTTATTAAATTTTAATTTCTCTAGTTAGTAGCCTACCAGTTGTAATCCTGAAGCACTATTGAATCATACTGAATTCTAATGGATAATTGGACAAGGATACTGACTAATTGTTACGAAAACCCAGTAACAGGCTGGATGCTAGAAGGGAAGTCCTTGCTAGTATTCACTGGAGATTTCTAAGCTTTTAAAATCTCGTTTTTTGTAACAAATGGGGGCCTGTCCGGGATGCTCTTGATCCAAGGTGTTGGAGAAATTGTCCAGTTTGACATACTAGTAACTCTATGATCAAACACTTTGAGTACTTTCCTAATCTGAAGACTTTGAGTTTTGTCCTGTACAACATACTAGGTGGATGTATGTACTTGACTGAGTCTCTTGATCCAAGGAGATGGAAATACCGTTTATGAGCTCTAGCTCTAAGACCACCAACACTAAAATTCCTTTTAGGATTATAGTTTCCCATAATCACTCTCTCGTAGTACATTTATTTTCGTGATGTATACCAAAGTGAAACAGTTAATTGCTACTCTGACTTTGTCTGAGTTAAGTACATTAAAACTTCAGACGTGTTGGCGAGTAGCCAAATATCTCGGTGTGACGTATAACAGGAATTACTCCGCAGAAACTGTCAGAGCGTTAATTAAAGATATATTGTTTCCTGCTCATGTAGAGATGTCTGATTATGATTCAGATTCAGAAAGCCTAGTGTCACAATTAGGAAGTATGACTATTTGATGAAGAAGAAAGAGCAACTAAGTCAGAAGTGAGCCTAGCATCTGAGCCTAGTGTAGCTCAGTTCTTGCTCATGCCTTCCCTCCTTACTGTTAGCTTGACGCAGCCTCATACTAGTACCTTGTATGCTACACCTGTATCTACTTATCCTAGACCAGATCTAGACTCTCTAGAGATGCCTGAATGAGGTGCCCGACCTAAGGACAGTCCAGAAAGACATGTTAATTTCCCTAATCCTGCATTACCTACTGGTCCTATCTCTCAGGAACAGTTCGAGAGGTTAGAACGCCTCATTATGTTGCAGACTGCACAAATAGAGGCACAGAGGAAATTGAACGAAGAAGATTTCCAAAGAGAAAATGTTCGTCTGGGAAGACAACAGACTGATAGATCACAGGACACATTTAATGTGGTGCCTAAGTTTTTTGAGAGTGACTTAGACACCTATTTTGATGTGTTTGAGAACCAGGCACGTGCTATGAACTGGCCACATAAGCACTGGGCTACCTTGTTGCACACAGCTTTGACAGGAAGAGCTCAGACTTGTACTGCTGCTTTACCATTTGCCAAGTACATTAGTTATGATGCTGTTAAGCTAACTATTCTAGACATATAACTTGTTACCCATAAGTTATCAAAGCGCATTTCATACGTTACAACGACGACAAGATCAAACTTGTGTAGAGTTTGCTCATGAGAAAAAAATTGCATTTGAGAGGTGGTGTAGGTCTGCCAAGTGTAACAACTACGACAGTCTTGTTCAGTTGTTACTACACGAAGAGTTTTAACAACTGTATGTCTGCTGACTTACAAGAATATCTGGTCGATCATACTACCTCGGATGTTCTGGAGACTGCAGCATTAGCAGACAATTACGAGATTTCTCACAAACTTGTACGTACTAAAACACAGAGAAACAAGGTAACTAAAAATTGTCCTAGAAGTTGGCAACCTAAATCAGCTGCTCATTGCCGGCCTGATGTATCTGCTACTGTAACTTCTCGTACCTTTACCAGGAAAACTCACAATCCTGAATCTGTCTCTGTGGTTAGACAGAAATCTGATATCGAGAAGAAGAAAGTTAAATGTACCTATTGTAACAGAAAAGGACATGCTAGAGAGTATTGCTATAAGTTAGAAAGAGATACGAGAAGCAGTCGTGCGGCTGGTGCCCCCACTCAAGTCGTATCCTCTTCCGAGCAACAAAGGCACCAAAATCCTAGTAATACCTCTGATCCTACTGTTTTAGATAATATTACTCAAGACAGATGACTAGCGTCAGAAAGTGTATCTGATGAAAAGATTTGTTCAGCGATGAGTCCTTACTTTTCGAGAGGTAAAGTAGGATTTGACGAATCACGTCTAACTGAGATAATTACTTTCAGAGACACTGGCAGTTATCTCACCTTATTAAGAAAAGATGTACTGACCATAACTGATGATACCTATTGCAAGATAGATGTATTGTTAGAAGCCTATGGTGGGGCTGTTATAAAAGTACCTTTGCACAAAGTTTACATTGAAACAAGCTATTACACTGGTTTTATTTCAGTGGGTATATCCAGTGGTGTATTTCCCATCAGGTCAGTAGACTTGTTGATAGGGAACGATATCCTTCATGCTGGTATATGTAAGGAACCACTTGTGATTGATAATAACACTGATGATAATTATGCCATTGAAGCTTGTAGAGAGAAGCCTATTTTATTTCCTCTCAGCACAGTTACTAGAGCTATGTCAAAGATTCAACAACCATCCTTGTCTCCTGTTGAGTTAGTGGATGACAATGATTTGGGCTTGAATATGTTGTTTAGTGACGCTCTGCGCCCAGGGTCATTAACACCAACTCCCCCCAGTCATCAACCTAGTCAGGACACAACTGACGTTAAATTTCTAACTCATGATGATTTAATCAAGGATCAGTTTGTTGATCAGTCACTGGAAAGACTGAGAGATATAGCAGTTACTGAGAGTGAAGCAAAAGATCTCGATAATTGTTTCTATTATAGTAACGGTGTACTGAAGGAGAAAAATACATGTAAGTTGTCAGCTGATAGTGTTTCCACCACAATCAAGCATCTCGTAGTGTTACCAGTTACATTTCGTGGACAAGCCATTGATTTTTCTCACAATAGTCCCATTGGAGGACATTTGGGTGTCAAGAAGACACTCGGTAAACTGGCAAAACATTTTACTTGGCCAAAGATGAAGGAAACAGTAGCTGATCATGTGCGACGTTGCCACGTGTGTCAAGTGACAGGCAAGCCAGCACACACACCTCCACCTACACCTCTCACTATGTTCACTAGTAGCAAAGTTCAGTTCATCTGGACTAGTGATTGTTGAGATTTGTTCAAAAGGTTGAAGCATCTGCTTTCCTCTC